CCCATTACTTGGATTTTAGATCAGAACCACAGCATCTGGCCACACAGCTCTTATTTCTAAGCAAAGCGTCTCGTCAGTCGCCATGAAATCACCACCTCCCAATCTATGCAGGCTATATATTTCAGCCTTTTTCCCCCTCTATATCTAAACCAGGGGAAATCTAAAACTTGAAATCCTTCTTTGTCCACGGACACAGCAAGTTAAACCTCTCCTTACAGGGAGGAACTGCGATTCCGGTACGGTTTTAACCTGTCAGCCTGGGCTCGTTCGACATCTTCCCAACTTCAACGACACGTCACGAGTCGCACTCCCTCAAGCTTTCAGCGCCTGTCCGTCCCCCAAGTATTAATACCTTTATCAAGCGAAGCTCCAGCCATGTGGTAGAAGCTCAAAGCTGTGTCCACATCGTTTATGTTCTTCAGAAAAGTGAAGAAGCTCTCCACCTCCTCAAACGTCAGCCCCTAGGACAGAGAAAAAGATGGTCTTACAGAGAAAAGATGGTCTTACAGAGAAAAGATGGTCTTACAGAGAAAAGATGGTCTTACAGAGAAAAGATGGTCTTACGGTGATAGGAAAAGGCAATGGTGGTGCCACCTGGATTACCAACAAAGTGGCTCATCAGCCCAAAGCTGTAGCCAGATGGGAATTCATCTGCACACTCCAAACACTCCTGCCTTGGCGCCTGCAGATGTGGGTTGCGACTCGTACTTTTGTTAACCACCTCTGCACCCCTCCCAGCCCCACCAGTTGTGCAACGAGAAGGGACTTCCCCATACATGGTCAGCAGTGGCAGAGACCAAAAAGTACTTCTCTGGCCCTTGCTCCGCAGCCAGCTCTCGCCCAGGCATACAGAAACACCGTAAGCCTGTGGTTGGGATGCAGGAGACCACTGCAAGCAGGTTCATTTATCTATTTTTCCAAGCCTGCGCACTTGCAATGACATTCATCAAATAGTTCGAGCGCTGCACGGTCTCTCCCAAGAGAATCAGGGATCCCTGGGGTGATCCACATCTTACTGAGCGTCACAGAAGGTGACGCTGCAAATCACGGCATGTATAGACGTGCCCCAGTTAGCTTTGCTGCTGGTGGCAGGATGGCCATGGGGCTGGATCGCTGTCTGCTCTACTTACTGCCACCGACACCTAGGGCTTGGCTCATCCTGGGACGTGTGACTGTGTGCCTGGTCAGCACCTACAGCCATGCACTGGGATTGTCACGGAAATGCATCCTGAGATCCCCCAGCACTGGCACTGCTGCATCCCAGCACAGCCCACGGGCAGGCAGGGGATAAGTGACATGCTCCTCTCTGCACCGATCTGTCCGGCAAGGAGTCTGCTGGGAGAACGGCCGCTGACGTGCGCAGCTCCGGGACCCCCACCCAGTTACACCACACAACACCTGATTTTTATCGGTCTGTTTAGTGCCAGCATCAGTGCTGGGACCCAAACTCCCCCGCCACGGCCACAGGATGGAGCCAATGGAGGAGGTAAGTCATCACCACAGTAATAACCACTCAGCCTTCCTCTCTGGAAGAGACAAATCAGCTTGCCAAGAGGATTTCAGGTTCAGGCTCCTCCTATCCTGGTCTGGCACAACAGACTGATACAGCAAAACACTAAAAATCCCAACCGCGTAACACGGCACGGTTTTATGGTCTGGATA